TGTAGAGGGCAGTGTCACTGGCCCTCATATGTGGGATCCGAACCGGGGCCCTCTGGCATCCCAAGCCAGTTCTTAACCATCGCGCCACTCGGCCAGCCCTATATGTACCATTTTTTTATCCACTCATCTATCAGTGGACACTTAGTTGCTTCCATATCTTGGCTTCCATATCTTGGTAAATAATGTTGTAATTAATCAATTTTTTATTAGGTTGGTGCAAATGTTATTGCAGTTTAAAAGGTTTAAAAATAATTGCAAAAACTGCAATTACTCTTGCGCCAACCTAATATATTCATGTTTTCTATAGTTGTACTTTTTTTTCTTAATCAGTTACTGAAAAAAAGCTATGTTTTACCTTCAGGAATGAGAAATATCTCATTGTTCCTGTGTATTTGTTTATTTTTTCTTATAGTTTGGTCAACACATTATGTGATTTTCTTTACTTTTTCCTAACTTATTGGTATAAAGTTGTGTGTATTGTGTTTCCATGAATTCAAATGGCAAAGGTAAGGAAGGCTTTTCTTTAAATACACAAGAATAAAATTGCATGTGATCATAATAAGCACATGTGGTATTAAAATGGCAGTCTTGTTCCTTTAGAAAAAAAGGCATTGAAACAGCCATTCTTAATGTGTCTTTCACTGAAATGTTTGTTGCCAGAATTTCTTCCATCCCAGTACGTGTCCTTTTGCAAATGACTAAGCAATTAATTGCTCTCCCTTAACCTCTCCACTAAGCTAAATACCACATTGATTGAGAGGCTTTGAATTGGTTTATGTTGCTTTCTCAGTCAGATCATATGTGGTTCTTATAAAATACTATGTTCTTTTTGACATTACACTTACTTATTAAAGGTCAGAAGGGTGGAAAACGCTGATGGGGTTGGAGGTTTCTGGTTCACTGTGTCTTTGTGGAAGTCTTGACCCGTATTCTCATGGAACTGGAGCATTAATTCATGGTTCCCACTGCTAGGAAACTGCAAGAAATCACTCTTACCTGCTAGCACTCTCTTTTCTCTGTCTGTAGAAATGTTGAACAAGAAATGGAGCTTCTGTTCATAAATTTCATCTTTTGAGATTATTTTTAGTATTTCAGTTGCTGCATAACGAAATGATGTTACACTCCCGAAACCATACCAGGTTTATTCTAAAGCCA